ACGTTGGGGATAGGAGTGAAACCATATTTTATTCCGTCAATCAATTTGGCATCGGAGCAACCCAGTTTTTAGGATTTGGCACCACTCTCGAAATGCCGCGGCACCGGTGCCACAACCATATTCTGCATTTGGCACCAGTATTTGGCCTACGGTGTGGCTGACTTTAGCATCCATCCTCACAACCAACAAGTTGTACACTAAAGTATATCCACAAACAAGTAGTTGTACACTAAAGTATATCCACCAACAAGTTGTACACTAAGGCAGCAAAGAATAATTTCCAAATAAATTGCGAACTTGAAAAGCATAAGTGAAAATGAGCATTTCAGCATTCTCTCAATAATATCATCCAATCGGTTGTTCTTTGCATCTTATAAGAAAAACAAAATAAAAATGGCTCTACAAAAATCAATTAGGATCATCCACTATAAAATGTAAAATTAAGGATCAATTTATGAACTCCATTTATCATAGTTGTGTTGGCAAAAGGTTTATTATTCGATCTAGTGTATTCTAGTTCACTATCAAATTTATATTTGTGAAGTAGCATAGCATGATCTGGTGAATTTATGAAAGCATACCTTCCATCTCAAGAACAGCATCAAAAGATCACGAGCAGAGAGAAGAGCATGTAGACGAGCCAACACGCGTAGGCAATGAGTCCCCTATGCTCATCGCCGCTGGAAGCAAGCTCTGCTAGTAACCTGGTGCAGACCCTGGTAGACCACAGCACGAATCCCATGCCCATCCCGAAGATGAGTCCACCGCCCCGTGGTAGGAAGAGGGAGACGGCGGAGAAGATGACCATGGGGAGCATGCAGTATCCGACCAGGCTGACGCACCTGTAGAGGTCAAGGTCGCCACGGCGTCCGCCCGAGAGCATGGAAAAGACGAAGTAGAGGAAGAGGGAGGCGACGGTGACCCACCCGAGGACGATCCCGAAGTGGAACTTCCCAGCCAGGAGCTGGAAGAGGCCGAAGGATAGGAGGAACAGGAAGGGGCCGGAGAGATCGGCGTCGGCGTGGAGGGACGGGTCGGCGGAGCGGAGCGGGTGGAGGATGGAGAGCGTCTTCCGCCAGATCTGACGCGTGTTGATGCCGAGCTCCTCGAGCAGCGGCGGCTCGTCTTCGAAGGAGGCGCTGGAGCCGCCGATGGGCCCGGTGAAGATGGGCGGCGTGGAGTTGGACTGAGCGGGTATGTCGAAGGACATGAAGGGCAGGGGGTTGGCGGCGGAGGAGGTGGAGGGGCGGGGAGGCGCGAAGGCGGGTGGCGGGGAGGCGCCGGGCCCGGGGATAGGGTGGCGGCGGTGGGCCGGTGTGGAGGGGTTGAAGACCACCGGGGGCAGGGAGAAGGGGGGCTCCTTCGCCATGGCCGCGGTGACGGCGAGGGTTCCGAGATCTGGGTAGTTGGCTAGATCGGGGAGTTGGGTTTTGGCCTCGGCGAGGAAGAGGAGAGGAATCGGGGGGATGCGGTACGGGGTGTCCAACTGCGAGACGGTGGGGATTCGCGGTGACCAACGCTGTGCTTTCCTTCAGTTTTCCAGTTGCGCGTTTCGTGGTAAGTAAAGGGAGCAAAATACGTTACCAGGTTGCTTAGGTGACAAGGATCTGAAACTTCTCCAGTTTTCTGCCAGCAAAAAACTTGAGATAGTAGTCTTTACTGGCTACATGACTCGTGACTCTTACAATATTTTCTGTAGAACTCCAAATAGCTGCCGAACGTTCGCCAAATGGATGGCATTTGCGAACAAATTTGCTGTCAGTTTTAGTCCAAAGAGGGATGGCAACTTTAATGGTAGGGTAGGCTGTTTTCAGTCTTTCAAGGTATTTTTCATCAAATTGTCATTATTCGATCACGATCGAATGGCTGTGCGGGTGTTCGCTGGGACCTCTCTCCTAGTGAATGTTTGCTGGTTATCATTACCATTTTTCTAAGAAACACGGTAGAAGTAACTCGCACACATGCACATCCCCATAAATGCATGCACGCACATTCTATTTTTATGAGCGCCTTCGAAAGACTGAGTTGGCAAATCATAAAATTGACGAAAGTCGCGCAAACACCTCGTTATCGACGGGAACGTCATCTCCTGCCGAACGAACTTCATCAGAAGGATTGAAATAACTTCAGGAAATATGCGAGCACAACGCCAAGTCTAGGGCTTGAACCTGGTCGGGCTAGTTTCATCACAAGAAATCTAACAATCTAAGCTATGCATGACCAGGCGTGTTTTTTTCTATCGAGAGGAGTCTTGTGAAAATGCTTGGCACCAATGTATTTCTCTGTGTGAACATTGTTTGTCCGAAAAAATTAAAACGGGTTTAAACTCATCTCATCTTCGATTTTTTATGTATAACTCCTCATTTTTAACAAGGGAAAGGGACTGAAGGTCCCAAAAGCTGACATTTATATCAGACCATCCAAAAGGGTCCTGAAAGAAGTGAAAATTACAACCATATCCTTCCTTTTGCAAACATAATCCAAAAGGTAAAATCAAAATTGCAATGTGGTCATCAGCTCCTCGTGTAGCCAGCGACCTCACTGGAGTTATAGCCGCTGTCTCCCGCATAAACAATGTAATCCTTCGTGGAAGGGATGAAAGGGCCTCTACATCAAGATCGAAGGAGGCATGTCAAAATTCTCTTACTAATTTGATATGCAGTTCCGGCGGCCGAAGTCGAGGTAGTGGATAAAGAACGAACGAAGAACAACCAAGCCAACTTCCTATTCCAATGAACGCCAGATTTGAGTTGGCAATGCATAAATCCACTCTCCTCCCTCCTTCACAACTATGACAATGAAGAGTGAGGCGAGGGGATGCCGACCTCGTTCAATCCGCCACTCCATCGAGCTTATTGATGGAAAGATAGTTGAATCCACTTCCCGCTTCTTCTAAACTTAAACCTAATACCTACACCGACGACCCGATCGTCGCTCTCAAGCGGTGCCGCCGAAGGGAGAGTGGAGAGGGGCCAGTGAGCTCTATGCGACTCTCAAAGGGCGGGGGGACTGGAACCTGCTAGCGGTTGGTTATGATGTCTTCTTGGTATGTGGTTATAACTTGCCCGTCGTCATTGTCAAAATGGACTACTATGCTAAAATCCATTTTGTATTTTGTTTTGAAAAGGAGGTTAACCCTCAACATTTTGTATTCAAATTAAGCCTAGAAAAGGAATGATTGTATAGCAATCTGCTAGTCCTGCACGAGTCGTGGGGTTTCCCTAAAGAGGAAGGGTGATGTAGATAACATCAAAGATTTCCCTCAATCAACAACCAAGGTCTATCGAACTAGTAGGAGCTCCTAGGCTACAAAGATAAGCAGCACTTGCACACAAACAAAACAAAATTCTTGTGCCCAACGCGGCAAGAGGGTTGTCAGGCCCCATGTCTTGCTAGTTACGAGATTAAAAGCAAACAAATAGATATGTAGTTGTATAGTAAAACTGAAGGAAATATGCCCTAGAGGCAATAATAAAGTTGTTATTTATATTTCATTATATCATGATAAATGTTTATTATTCATGCTAGAATTGTATTAACCGGAAACTTAGTACATGTCTGAATACATAGACAAACAGTGTGTCACTAGTATGCCTCTACACTGACTAGCTCGTTAATCAAAGATGGTTAAGTTTCCTAACCATAGACATGAGTTGTCATTTGATGAACGGGATCACATCATTAGAGAATGATGTGATTGACTTGACCCATCCGTTAGCTTAGCACTATGATCGTTTAGTTTATTACTATTGCTTTCTCTACAACTTATACATGTTTCTATGACTATGAGATTATGCAACTCCCGAATACCAAAGGAACACTTAGTGTGCTATCAAACGTCACAACGTAACTGGGTGATTACAAAGATGATCTACAGGTGTCTCCGATGGTGTATGTTGAGTTGGCATAGATCGAAATTAGGATTTGTCACTCCGATTGTCGGAGAGGTATCTCTGGGCCCTCTCGGTAATGCACATCACTATAAGCCTTGCAAGCAATGTGACTAATGAGTTAGTTACGGGGTGTTGCATTACGGAACGAGTAAAGAGACTTGCCGGTAATGAGATTGAACTATGTATGATGATACCGACGATCGAATCTCGGGCAAGTAACATACCGTTGACAAAGGGAACGACGTATGTTGTTATGCAGTTTGACCGATAAAGATCTTCGTAGAATATGTAGGAGCCAATATGAGCATCCGGGTTCCGCTATTGGTTATTGACCGGAGATGTGTCCCGGTCATGTCTACATAGTTCTCGAACACATAGGGTCCGCACGCTTAACGTTGGATGACGATTTGTATTATGAGTTATGTGATTTGATGTACCGAAGGTTGTTCGGAGTCCCGAATGAGATCACGGACATGACGAGGAGTCTTGAAATGGTTGAGATGTAAAGATCGATATATTAGAAGGCTATATTCGGACATCGGAAAGGTTCCGAGCGATTCGGGTATTCTCCGGAGTACCGGAGAGTTACGGGAATTCGCCGGGGGAAGTAGTGGGCCTTAATGGGCCATACGGGAAAGGAGAGATGGGCCTCAAGGGGGGCCGCGCGCCCCCCCATGGGCTGGTCCAAATTGGACTAGGAGGGGGCGGCGCCCCCTCCTTTCTTCTCCCCTCTTTCCCCTTCCTTTCCCCTCCTAGTTGGACTAGGAAAGGGGGGAAACCTACTCCTAGTAGGAGTAGGAATCCCCCCTTGGGACGCGCCATAGGAGGTCGGCCCTCCCCCTCCTCCACTCCTTTATATACGGGGGAGGGGGGCACCTCATAGACACACAAGTTGATTCTTAGCCGTGTGCGGTGCCCCCCTCCACATATTTCCACCTCGGTCATATCGTCGTAGTGCTTACGCGAAGCCCTGTGCCGGTAAGTTCACTATCACCATCAACACGCTGTAGTGCTGATGAAACTCTCCCTCGGCCTCAACTGGATCAAGAGTATGAGGGACGTCACCGAGCTGAACGTGTGTAGATCGCGGAGTTGCCGTGCATTCGGTACTTGATCCGTTCTTGCTACCTCTTGAGCATGCGTTGGTTTTCCCTTGAAGAGGAAAGGGTGATGCAGCAAAGTAACGTAAGTATTTCCCTCGGTTTTTTAGAACCAAGGTATCAATCCAGTAGGAGACTACACGCAAATCGCCTAGTACCTGCTGATACGTCCATTTTGCATCATGCTTTTATATTGATATTTATTGCATTATGGGCTGTTATTACACGTTATGTCACAATACTTATGCCTATTCTCTCTTATTACAAGGTTTACATAAAGAGGGAGAATGCCGGCAGCTGGGATTTTGGGCTGGAAAAGGAGCAAATATTAGAGACCTGTTCTGCACAGCTCCAAAAGTCCTAAAACTTCACGGAAGTTATTTTCAGAATATATAAAAAATACTGAGCACAAGAAGTACCAGAGGGGGCCACTCACCAGCCACGAGGGTGGGGGCGCGCCCTACCCCCCTGGGCGCGCCCCCTGCCTCTTGGGCCCCTGGTGGCCCTCCGATGCCCATCTTCTGCTATATGGTGTCTTTTGTTGAGGAAAAAATCATAAGCAAGCTTTCGGGACGAGACTCCGCCGCCACGAGGCGGAACCTTGGTGGAACCAATCTAGGGCTCTGGCGGAGCTGTTCTGCCGGGGAAACTTCCCTCCGGGAGGGGGAAATCATCGCCATCGTCATCACCAACGCTCCTCTCATCGGGAGGGGGCTAATCTCCATCAACATCTTCACCAGCACCATCTCCTCTCAAACCCTAGTTCATCTCTTGTATCCAATTTTTGTCTCTAAGTCTGGGATTGGTACATGTAGGTTGCTAGTAGTGTTGATTACTCCTTGTAGTTGATGCTAGTTGGTTTATTTGGTGGAAGATCATATGTTCAGATCCTATATGCATATTAATACCCCTCTGATTATGAACATGAATATGCTTTGTGAGTAGTTACGTTTGTTCCCGAGGACATGGGAGAAGTCTTGCTATTAGTAGTCATGTGAATTTGGTATTCGTTCGATATTTTGATGAGATGTATGTTGTCTCTCCTCTAGTGGTGTTATGTGAACATCGACTACATGACACTTCACCATTATTTGGGCCTAGAGGAAGGCATTGGGAAGTAATAAGTAGATGATGGGTTGCTAGAGTGACAGAAGCTTAAACCCTAGTTTATGCGTTGCTTCGTAAGGGGCTGATTTGGATCCATATGTTTCATGCTATGGTTAGGTTTACCTTAATACTTCTGTTGTAGTTGCGGATGCTTGCAATAGAGGTTAATCATAAGTGGGGTGTGTAAGTGCATCTAGTGCCACCCCTAGTTGGTTTTGGAGTATTGACGACAAACCTGGTTGAGGGACTAATGTGTTTGTGAGAATTGC